GGAAAATATTTTAAAAAAAGAGTAAAAAAATCAAAAGGGGGCTAATAATTCTGTCTTTAACTGTATATGTGTGTGTGTATATATATATATATATAGTAACTTGGGATCCTTTGATTAGAGGATCACGATTAGCTTATGTGGCCCAGCTGGGTTAATCATGAGCGAAATTAGTTCAATATTAAACTTTGTTTGTTAAACATAGACACAAACGTAAATGACACAAATTGCACATTAGTATGCAAAAATTGTATGTGAACTCAAAGAATTGGTAATAAAGCACTGTTTGCTGAAAAAACATAGAAACAAACACACTAAGGCTGCACATGCAAAAACAACAGATAAGGTAAGTGAAAGACGCTTGTTTGAATTGTTTGAAGATTTTTGCAGGGATAAACACGTGCTGATGTTTATGAGAAAAACATGCACAAACATGAACATTTTCTTTTACCCCACAGAAAGTGGATTCAGCCACCATCCCCACACAGTAGGATAGCAGATAGGACAGATAGAGTAGCCGTGTTTAACCCTAAAAGCTTTTAAATTAAACAACTTGTTTTTTGTTTATTATCATTTTAAAAAAAAAACAACGGCAATATTTTTTTAAGTGCGTCACAAATATGCTGTAAAGCCAGTTTTGCATGTGTATGAGCCTGTTTACCAAATGATTCATTGGCATTCATTCATTCATTTTAAATATGCTAACCCATTACTCCCCGTCCAACCTTAATGCCCCGGCTTACACTTTCAGACTGGAAGAATCCAGATAGCCAAGTGACAAACCGTACACTGTAAAGCTCAATAAGTTAAGGTAACTCAAACCATTTCAGGAAACCGATTGCAACAAACCATTTAAGTTAAAAAACTAATCCTATAGGATTAGTATCAAATGAGTACTGTGAACTTAATCCATTTGAGTAAACGGAGCAAATTGAGCACAGTGAAACCCAATAAATGAAGGTAACGCAAACCAACTGATTTCTGTAAAACCCAATAATTTAAAGGGTCACGGAACACAAAAACACATTTTTTGAGCTGTTGACACAAATATATCTATAAATCTATCTAACCCAAATCAGACTGACACACAGTTCAACTGTCAGTGTTGGGAGAAAGCATTATAGATCTGCATAATGCAGACACTCATACCAATGACAGGATGAAACAGGCCAAACATGTTAAACAGTACAAAAAATCCAAACACAACTTGTTTACGTGGTATATCACTATGCTAAAAACTGTATGTGAACTCAGAGAATTGGTGAAAATTCTGCATGGCTGTTGTAAAACCTTTAATACAATCACACTGAGGTTGCTCATACACAGTGAAAAAGAGACGCTTGTTTTGAGTACTTTTGGACTTAAAAACAGTTTAAAAGTTTTGCTTAAAAGTATTTTTTGTTTTTACATCAGCCTCCACATCATATTGTACTTATAGTCCAGTGATAAGCATGTGCTAATATGGGCACGCACAACATGACACCTTTTTTCTCGCCCCTCAGAAAGTGGTCTCAGATAGGGCAGAGGCTTGGGAAGTGGGGTTGAACACTTAACGTTTTTTTATTTTTTTTTAAGAAAAACAACTTCAATCAACCAGAAATTCAATAACATCACAAACACTCAATCACAAAACTCGGATAGCCAGTTTTGAATGTTTGAGACCGTTACAAAAACTGTTCACTGGCATACATTCATTCCCCCTCCAACCTCAGACCCTCGGGTTGCAGAGGTTGTAAAAATGATAAACCATACACATCGTCACAAATCTAACTATAAATGCATCCAACTAAAACCCTAACTGTCCATCAAAGTTGAAACGTGCTTATGAATTATAGACAAGGCATTAAAATAGTTTAAATAGAGTGTGTATGATATAACTACTTACTTTTTTTAAGATACAAAACAGGATAAAGCATAGTGACCTTGAAAACTGAAATGTATTGACACTCACACACCACATTTTGATGTGTTCCAAAGACTTTAAATGTCCACAAAGCACATGCTTTGCTTTGAAAGCAGCTTCAACACTTACAGTACCATGATACTGTAACACTTACGTGAAGGGGGTGCTTATAAGACTGTCAAATACAGTGGTACAAGGATTGAATCTGGATATGGATTTGTCATTAAGACCCGATACCAATCCTGTTTTTGTACCCCTACCCCTTCCTCTTGGCCCTTAATACAGAGTGTGAAGGGGTAGGGCTTCAAAAATTACCCCTAAGAAATGGGACACAACTACAGCACCTGTACACGTCATCATATGTCATCGCAATCTCTTGCTTTATATGAGATCAGACGATAATGACTGCTGTAGTTATCGCAGTTGTGTTATTTTTTGGTATTTATCTTCAGGAAATCACTGAAGGCATATATTATGTTATCATAACGATATAATGTGGCAAACAATACTGCGCATTTACACCGTGGCCCTAGTCATCTATGTAAACACACAAAAACAACATTAACATTATAGCAGACACTGTAAAAAGGTTATTCCAGCTGCTAGATTTTTCTAAAAGGGTATTCGTGTGTCATTGAGTGTCAGAATGTTGTAGGACTGCTGTACAAGAGTTATTAATAGTGATTATAGATATAGAAATTCAGCGGCTTTTATTTTAGCCTTTTTTTTTTTTTAAGCGTAACGGTAAAACACGAACGCAGTTGTGAATGTATTAAATCATATGCTTGTATATATGTTGTATATTGTAATTTGTGGATCTCCTTAATTCCGAGTGGTGCTACACTGCTGTTGTTGCTGGTGTATTCTGGAAAATTTTCTTACCGCTTGGTTTCAATTGTGGTCCTGAAAAATCTCAGTTGCAAGGGGTATCTACCTCTTTCTCTTAGCCCCACTTAGCCCAAGCTAAAAAGAATTAAGAATTGGTAAGGGAAAGGGCTAATGGGTAGAATTGGGATTGGGCGTAAATATTAATGACTCTCTTAACAATTATTTTAGTCGTGGCACTTTTACTTAGACATTTTAATGAAAAACAGTCAAAACACACTTATAATACCCTCATGACAATCACGTTTATGACAGATTTATGACAAGTTGTCAGGACAAAGATAAAGTCCAGTTAACATGAATTAGTTTATGTCAAGTTGTCATAACAAACAATGCCATCTTCGCATTTGGCAATGCAATCTAAAATGACATAACTGAGCAAATGACACTTAATAACAGTTGCAGGGTATTTGCAGGTTATATTTAAGACATTTTAATATCTCAAAGATTTAAATATAAGGCCAATTTCATAGTACTGAATTTGTAAAATAAGTGAAATTCCCAACCCAGGCTCATTGTGGAAACGTAGTCCCGCGGGCGTTTCTGGAGACCGCGGAATACGTCCCGGCGGGTACGTACGACTGCAGTTTTTGTTTTTGTGAATCCGTGTGAGGCCGCTGTTGTGCGCTTTTTCGCATCTCAGATGCCTCTCGCGAGTGCGGTTCGCGCCCGCGCTGTTCTCGCGTAAACCCACCAGAGGCCACTGTCCGACTGACCGGATGATTGACTGCGCGACCGGCCAATCGGCTGAACCGCCCTCCTTCCCTGAACCCAACCAATTTTACCAATCGACCCGCCCGCTCGCTTCCCTAAACCCGAGCAACAGTTTACAAAAAGCCGTCCAAAAAAATAAAAGCCCTGATTTTTTTTTCTACTGCGTTTTTCAGATTTCACAGCGTTCTCACCCTGTTACAAAACTCGTTCACTTAATTTTTGGGATTCTGTTTTTGTCTTACCTGATTGCTGGAACCGCTCTTCCCCGGACTCAAAACCGATCGCCGTGGTCAACTCCTCTCTGCAGCTCGAGCCTGCCGACGTACACGGTGAGCTGAGTGGACAAACGGGTTGCAGCGGTGAAGCACTCCACAAGGAGGTGAGCGGTCGGCCGGCCGGCCGGCAAGCGCAATAGGGAACAGCGTCACACCGCCTCTTAGCGTTCGCTTAAAAAAATAAATGGAACGGGACTACGTTTTCAGAATGAGCTTGGGTTGCAACTGCCAGCGAACATTGCTTACGAAAGCAAAATCATCGTGAACATGTATTTCATTAGCTTCCACCTATTTAATTCTGAGTGTTAAATAGATGAAGAGATTTTAAGTAGATTTAAAATCTTCTTCTTTATGGGATCAATTTGATTTTAAAGTTAAGATCTACGACAAAAAACTGTAATGACATTGCTAACTAGGTTAAATGCTTGAAGATCCCATAAAGTGCTTTGAAATGTGCATTTTTATTCAATGTTTGTTGAATCTTAACCAAAATATGAAGAGAGGGTGAGACATTGTGTTGCTCCTCCCCTTTAAAAAACAGCCAATAGCGCTTTTAATTTATAACCGCTTTGCCAGTGAGAGTTACTGAGCTCAAGAGCATCAAATGTGAAGCATCTTGTAGGGGGCGGGGGCTGTCAGATACTACAGAATATTTGATTGGTCAGAAGATTTGATGAAAAACTATGAGTATGAGGTGACGTGAATAAAACAGTGAATCCATATAGTCGGAAGTTACAAACTACTAGCTTTACATGTTTATATCAGTTTATATCTCTTAAATGTAAATTTTGTCACTGTTTTGGAGCACACTAGCTTATAGATATCCTAAATATGAACAATACTAATACTTACTAGCAATACTAAAACTTTATTTTAATTTCATTGGACATTTAACATTTATTTTTTAGCAATATTATTAGTGGCCATATGTGCTATTGGCCTGTAAAAACAACTGAAAAAAGTGGTCTGGCTCTGGTATTTGCTCATGGATAATGCACTCTTTTGTCTGTGCGTCTTTATAGTATAGTAGGAGGAGCATTGGTAGGAGCATTGTGAGTATGATTGATTCTAACAGGACTAAGCGGTGACCATGAAATTAGAAATGTAGGAAGTTGACTAATTTAGATTTCCATTCATTAAATGCAGTAATATATGCAAACAATGTGTGTAATATTATAACTATATTCCGACAGTAAACAGCTGATCCACTTTTTCATGGTTTCCAGACACGAGGCCACTGAGTTGGAGGGTGGATGTGGATTCGATTGCTGTCGCCGGATGCCAAGAGGTTACACTAGCTACATGCACAGTGATCAGTGAGAAGACGGCTGCTCGGGTGTCATGGCGTTTGGGATCTTTGTCTGATTCTTTGAAACCATCATCCAATAATGTGCAACATCTGGATGGGATTTTCACGGTCTCAAGCAGTCTGATTGCTGTGCCAACTGTTCAGATGAATCAACAGCTTGTCCAGTGTGTGATCACGCATGATACACGGAAAGCCGAGATAGAAATCGATCACAGGATCAAAGTACACTGTGAGTGACAAGTGTTTGAAGCTAAATTATAGTAAAAAGGGAAGTGACCTGTAAATGGTGTAACTTTTTAATTGACGCAGAACATAAAGTAAGGCATCTTTATCATTGCTTATTTAAATTTCTAATGTGATGAACAATTATAAAATTAATCAGTTATTAGAAATAAGTTTTTAAAACTATTATGTTTAGAAATGTGTTGAAAAAAATCTGCTCTCCATTAAACATAAATTGGCGAATTGAGGATCTTTTTCAAGACACTTCTATACAGCCTAAAGTGACATTTAAAGGCTTAACTAGGTTAATTAGGATAACTAGGCAGGTTAGGGTAATTAGGCAAGTTATTGTATAACGATTTTTTTTTCTGTAGAATATCCAAAAAAATAAAAAATAAAAAATTGCTTAAAGGGGCTAATAATGTTGTCCCTAAAATGGTTTTTAAAAAAAATTAAAACTGCTTTTATTCTAGCCGAAATAAAACAAATAAAGATTTACCCAGAAGAAAAAAATATTATCAGACATACTGTAAATATTTCCCTAATCTGTTTATAATAGTTTAAGTGATATTCAAAACAGAATGAAAAATTCAAAGGGGGGCTAATATTTATGAATTCAACTGTATGTATATATATATATATATATATATATATATATATATATATATATATATATATATATATATATATATATATATATATATATATATATATATATATATATATACTTCCGGTTTAGGTTTCATGCAGGTAACTAGACGATCATGTTGATGCATTTATACAAAATAACTTAACAGTTCTATTTTTGAGGTGAAGATGTTGAGCATCAACATGAAAAGCAACATCGCTCTTCTGCAATATTGAATGAAAACATTGCTCGAACTGTTGCTCCACGTATCCTCCTCTGGGTTTCAGGAAAGGGAAGGGAGCGAGGCATCAAATGCAGGGACAGAAAACATTGATTTTTTTATAGACCTTTTTCTTAGAACGCAAAATTACTCATTATGATTTCTATGTATATGCGCAAGGAGAATGCTGAGAGCTTCTGGTCAGCAGCTGATGCATATAAACAGTCACATTTAAACAGCTTTGAAATGATAGTTTTAATCTATTTTATTTGGTTTTACTGTCTTAGAACTAATACTGCTGTCTATCAACACAACCTCCTGGACTGGTTATTTTAAAAAATGTGTTCTAATGAGATGAAAAACACATGCTGCGAGGCATTTTTCCCTCGTTGTCAGAGAGCAACCTGTGTCGTTTAAATGGAGCCTCGTCCTCACTGAAGTGAACATTTTCTCTTTCTTTCAAAGATAAAACCAACCCAAACAAATGTATTCACCAAAATCTTTGACACACTCACACATAGCCTATACAACACAAAGTAAATAAATAAAACATAAACAGCTCCCGATTAGAATCAACATGCAAATCAGCCAGAATAGTGTCAGTAACAGACTTTTATTTGGTAATTTTTGGAAATTGCATGGCTTACATTGTGTGTGTGTGTGTGTGTGTGTGACTGCGAGAGTGTGTGTGTGTGACTGCGAGAGTGTATGGATGTTTCTTTGTACTGGGTTGCAGCTGGAAGGGCTTCTGCTGCGTAAAACATATGCTGGATAAGTTGGAGGTTCATTCTGCTGTGGTGAACCCTGAATAGTAAAGGGACTAAGCTGAATTAAAAATTAATGAATGAACTATTGATCATTGATCCATTAATTGAATTGGTTTCAATGGCACATACTGGCATGCAAAGCAAATCTGAATTTGTTTAGCTGGATTTTAATGAACTTAATGTGTATGTCATCTTTGCTAACTATTTTTTTTTATGTTTGTTTTAAAGATCCACCTCAGCTGGTCACTGTGACGCCTTTCAATGATCCCTCTTATGCTGAAGTGTTTCAGTGTGAGGCAGATGCTAATCCTCCAGCAACAGACTTCACATGGCACAGGTAGGTTCTTCATTAATATCAAAATCTCTTTAAAAAAGTTATGTAAAGCATAATTAAAAGTAATGTGCTGTATCAAAGTTTAAAGGTCATATTTAGAATCTTCTCTGAATACAAATGTCTGGGTAAAATATGTCAGCTAAAAATAATTCAAATTCAAACTGAAAAGAAGAAATCAAAATAAGGACATTTTATTTTTGTGACAAACTGAGAAAAAGTGCTTTATGTTGGCATTAAGTGTTGCCAGAAAAGGTAGACATTTGTACTTAAAGGGTCCATATTGGTACCTAAAAATTTTAAGAGGAACACTTTTGTACTTTTTAGGTACTAATATGTACCCTTGAGGTGTTAATAAGGACTAATAGGGACTAATTTAGCTTCTAATTTGTACTTTTGAAATACATATATATGTATATATTCATTCATTTTCTTGTCGGCTTAGTCCCTTTATTAATCCGGGGTCGCCACAGCGGAATGAACCGCCAACTTATCCAGCAAGTTTTTACGCAGCGGATGCCCTTCCAGCCGCAACCCATCTCTGGGAAACATCCACATTCACACACACACACACACACTATGGACAATTTAGCCTACCCAATTCACCTGTACCACATGTCTTTGGACTGTGGGGGAAACTGGAGCACCCGGAGGAAACCCACGCGAAAGCCGGGAGAACATGCAAACTCAACACAGAAACGCCAACTGAGCCAAGGTTCGAACCAGTGACCTTCTTGCTGTGAGGTGACAGCACTACCTACTGCGCCACTGCCTCGCCCATATATATAGGGCTTGACATTAACTTTTTTGATCACCAGCCACTGTGGCTAATAGTTTTCCAATATTTCTAACCACTTGCCATTTTCACTAGCCACACTTTTGTTGTTGGGAAAACACATTTTATAATCATAAAATTTGACTTTGACATGCTAAAATTCCTTGATTTAGACTTTGCGTTATGTCCACATGAGTCCTCATTCATTTAACTTTTTTGTGTGTATAAACTTGCTTAATGTGCATGAGCAAATGGGTTGTGATTTCATGGTGTCGCATGACTTTTCAGGGCTTAAAATTAAGGATTTACCAAATTTAACAATCTCTCACCACAAAAAAATAAAAATAAAAATAAAATTATTTCTTAGGAACAAATTTTAAATGTCAAATCAAGCAAAGTATAGCTGTATACATGCATTTTTTTATTCAATAAAACCTTCTTTTAAAAAAAAATTATATTTAAAAAAAAAATGATTGCCATGTAACTACAATATGCACAGTAGTCTGTCCTGGCTAAAGGTTCCAGATCACCAGTGAACTACACATAATGGGGAGTTAATCTCCTTTTAAATCAATGTTATTTTAAAAGCAATAATTAACCTATATCAACCAAAATAACTGTAAGCAAAAGAAAGCAGGTGAAAAACATACTGTGTGATAATGGAAGAATGATCACACACACACATTTAATGTTAGGCCCATAATCTATTCAAAGATTGGTTAAAGCAAAAGCGAGAACTGCTGCTGCTTACAAAAATACCTTTTTTTAAAAACGTCTGGAGCTCTTGAAAGCTCCAGGACTGTGGGTGCACGAGCATCACTTTTTGTTCAGTTCGTTTCAAAGATAAAAGATAGCCTCTAATAGTAGTTGCGCGAGTGATGTCCTCTCATTCGGTATTCACGCGAACTCTATTTCATCGTGCTGCTTCTTGATTCTAAAATCACATTTGCATGCATATTGGGCCATCTCTATTGTCGAACCCTGCTATTAAGAAAAGTACAGCATAAAAAAGATTTTCAACCAGCCAAAGTGGCTAGTAGGAGTGTCTATCCAACCCGCCACAGCTGCTGAAATCTACCTGCAGGATGATAGTGTAAAGTCCTGTGTATGTATATATATATATATATGTATGATTAACCAAACCAAATTGTGAAAGATTTACTCAGGTACAAATAAAGATTCTGAGAATTATATATATATATATATATATAAATTATGTAATTTGTAAAGTTTTATGTTTTCTGTTGAATTCATATTTTTCCAAAGTAAAAAAACAAAAAAAGAAAGAAACTCAGCAACAGTCTTTATGCAACAGCCTTACATTTAAAAGGGTAACATAAGCAGATCATAAGCAAAATCATCCCTAGCCTATTGACCTTATTCTAAAATGCGGAAGTGCGCCTGTTTTCGCGATTGTCTTAGAACTTCCGTTTCAGTCGCCTATGGGAGAAATGACAAGTAATAATAAACGGCAAAAAATGGTCAAACTACTTGCTCTACAAACAAATGTTTGCATGACTACACAGACCAAGTAGAATAATATAACAAGGAAATATCAGTTTGCAACATCAAACAGCGAAACAAGCCGTTTTTAATGTCTAAAAAGTGAATGTAAGTGAATGAGACCGGAAGTCTCGTGCCAAAAAGATTCAAATGGCGGCGCCCGCTCGTCGGCGAAGAATAAGGTCAATAAGGTGTTTTAGGGAAAAGCCTGTCTTTAACTGACCCGTTATATGTTATTCCATGCCTTATTTATTTACTTTGGTGCATGTACCCGTGTGCTATTGGAAAAGTAGACTAATGGCGGCATGCCATCTTTACCAGACTTGGGCAAACTCCGCCTCTCTTTCCACTCCGCCCCAAAGCCCCAGCTGGTCCTTATTAACCCAAGTTATTCGACCGCTGGCCCCGAGGATGCCATGCTTTGGCCTGATCAGGCCCCTGGCCTGCTCGCTTTAGGCGTGATAGTGGAAAACGCGGCTATTGACTGCCAAAGTATTTGTTTTTTCCTACTATTGATGTCAGTGGTTACAGGTCCTCAGCTTCCTACAAAATATCTTATTTTGTGTTCAGTAGAAAAACTCATAGCGCCCTATCATACACCCGGTACAAAGCGCGACACACTTGTTGTCTGCTAGTTTCAGCTTGGTGCAAGAGTCGTTTTAATGTTTTGCACCACACTGTTATTTAGCAAATGCATTTGCGCTTATATGTGCGCCCATAGATGTTCTGGTCTAAAAAAGTAGGCGTGTTATGTTGCATTGTTGGTGCATTGCTAGTTTGAGGATCTATAATAGATTGTTCTATAGACCAGATCAAATCCGGTCTATAGTCCAGCGCAGAGCGCGTTAGTTGAGCGCCTTGCTTACACATTGCGTAAAACACACAGGGTGTAGAGCAATACGCAAATATCTTTACAAATGAAAAAGAATTAAAGGATTCAAATATTACAAAAATTATTATTTTCTAGCCTACATGAATATAAAAACCTACTTTCATGCCTTCATCAACTCAGGGGGGCTTCAGTTTATTCATAACAATTTGCTTTTGTATAATGTAATTATTATTAGCAGTGTTATTTATTATATGCATATTTATATTTGTTTTATTAAAAACAAGCTTAGATTTGTCCACCGGTCAAGTTTTAGACCATATGGGGCACAGCATGTGTATTTGGATATAACTCAGTTTTTTGACCACACTTCGTTATTATTGTTCATTTATTCATTTGCTAGAATTAAGAAATAGTTTTGAAACAAATCTTTAGGCTTAACAAACTAAATTAATTATGTGTAGGCAAATGGATGTCCCTATCCACAAGAGTGAAAGTGAAAGTAAAGAATGAGGAGGCTCATCTCTCATTCTCAAACTGCAGATGCTCTGTTTAACTGTTTTATCATTAGTAAAGGGTTCAGTTTTTCCACTTTTAAAGTCTGTCATGTAAATAGCAAATGCACTATGGCATGTCGCAACTGACTCTTAAAGGGAATGGGAGATGAGACTCTGATTGGTTAATTCTCAAAACACACCTATAACTCCCTATTCACACGAGGCTTCAGCTTTACTGCTTGACAGAGGGCGTGTCTAAAGTTGGGGCTGACGCGATCGTCATAGCAGCGTCAGCCAATGAATTTAGTCAGCCATATTCCACTGTCTGAGCTGGTATATTTGCATACAGCGATCTGATTGGCAGAACGCTTCCGTCGGCGCTGGAAAGTTGAGCAAGTCTCAACTTTTGCTGCAAGCAATGCCTCTGAAGCGGCACTGATGAATCCACAATGCAGTTCGGCAATGCCTGACTTCACCCATTCCAAGTAAATTGGAAGCTTTGAAGCCGATGCCCCGTGTAAATGGGGTGTAACTCATTAAGAGAATAAGTTCAACACTGTTAGACCAGGAGCCCCGGTGCAAAGCGGACTTTTCCGTCCGTAAAATAGGAAAAGTGGATTCTGACACGCTCTTAATGTCTTTCTGCCTGCACTTGGACTTTGCGCATGGATCGTCCAAATAGAGACCATAAAGTTTCAGAACCACTAGAAGGAAAGTAAATAGTTAATCCCTTTAAGCTTAATAAACAACTCCACAACTCTCGTTTATCTTGTTTATGTTGTCTATTTAGGTTGACACAAAAAAAACCCTAGGCACAATTTGCTTCCTTTGAACAGTACAAAGAGTGACCTGTCCGACTGAAGCAGTCATTTACATCTATTTGCTTTCACATACGCAAAGTACAAACCCACCTTTAAATGGCTTTTTTGACCTGAACTTGTGCATGCAAAACATTAAGTTTGCTGTTAGTTCAAACTACCTATTTACAAAGACCTGAAAATGACAATGACAATGAGTTTTTTGGGAATTTTTTTAATTGTTTTATTAACTTTAATCCACTTAAATTTGTAAAAATCCATAAGTTAACTTAATTACTTCATGTTTTACCTTACAAATCTTGTGTGTGGAACATAACATTTGTTTTACAGTATAGATCAGTCAGTCAAGTTTTTGTAAATCTTTAGGTATTTCAGCATTAATGAACTGATTTTGTATTCTTTCTTCTTGTTTATGAAGTAGCAAGCACGTGACTATCCCAAATGATGCCATTGAAATCAAAGGAAATAAACTCTACTTCTTGAAACTGTCCTCTGACCTCAATGGAGTGTATTTCTGTAATGCTTCAAACATGTACGGCGCAGGAGTCGGCTCTCTCTTCTGGCATCAAGGTAAATTCCTCTTTCATGGTAAATACTCAATCTGATACTAAAGCTTGTTATCAGATGAGACTAATGTGCAATGCCTGATAGTATGGCAAGCCATTTTATATTTATTTAGTTTGATCTATAGAGTCATTATGTTAGTCATTACTAATTCAGTGGTTAGTTAACATATTCATTTAAAACAATCTATGAGATATTAACTATTCAGTTTGACAAGTATATATTTGATTTATGAATAAAAGCTTATGATATTTATGTACCAGTAGTTGTTCAGTATTTGTACTGATCTTTAGATATACCTGAAGTTAAATACTACTTATTTATTATATAGCTATTAAATATATTATAATATAAAAATATAGTTAATATGTTACCGAAGTAGATTTTTTACTTTTTAAAATATGAAATCAACCTACATAACCAAATTATCTGTGTATAAATTACTCATAGATATATTCATTCATTCATTCATTCATTCATTCATTCATTCATTCATTCTTTGTTTCTTATTCATTAGTGGAATGACCAGACAACTATTCCAGCATTTGTTTTACACAGTGGATGCCCTTCCAACCCAGTACTGGGAAACACCCATACACACTCTTGCATGCACAAATGCACACACTTATATTTAGTTCACCCAATTCACCTTTAGCGCATAGTCTTAGAACTGTGGAAGAAACTCTCATTCGGTATTCACGCGAACGCTATTTCATCGTGCTGCTTCTCAATTCTAAAATCACATTTGCATGCATATTGGGCCATCTCTATTGTCGAACTCTGCTTTTAAGAAAAGTACAGCATAAAAAAGATTTTCAACCAGCCAAAGTGGCTATTAGGAGTGTCTATCCAACCGGCCACATCTGAAATCTACCTGCAGGATGATAATGTAAAGTCCTGTGTATATATATACATATATATATATATATATATATATATATATATATATATATATATATATATATATATATGTATGAGTAACCAAACCAAATTGTGAAAGATTTATTCAGGTGCAAATAAAGATTCTGAGAATTATATATATATAACACCCGGAGGAAACCCACGCGAACAACTCGACACAGAAATACCAACGGACCCAGCTAAAACTTCTTGCTGTGAGGCCCTCATATATTTATGTACCATTACAATAACCATACAGTTACGTAGAGTTATATAGGAGAGATGGCCTGAATAAACAGGAGGCCACATCTGTTGAAACTGTTAAGTTAAAAGGGTCCACAATGTAGGGTTCAAACAAACTTTGGTCATGGTTGACAAATGTGAACTAATCTAAAGTAACAGCTGCATATCAGGATATCAGGGAGAGTGCTGCTGAGGGTCTCCTGAAAAGTCTCTTTTGTTGTCGACAGTAGAGAATGTTCTGGAGTCAAAACCATCCGACTGCTGGTTGACTGATCATTGAAGGAAGAAAATACATTGCATAATTTAAGTACAAATAAAAAGCCAATATTTTAATAATAGTCTGGTAGTAAGTCACTAATAGTGAGAATTTTAAACGAAAAAAGGGATTAAAAACTAGTATTCAACTTAAGGGTGCAGTAGGTGATTGTCTTGAAAAACATTGGTTGTGCAGTTTAAAAGTCTCTTCAAATTACAATGATTAAAGTAAATGATCTAAATGTATTTCTTTGTAATTATATATTTTGGATATGTTCATCCAATTATAAATTTTCCGGGCCGACACTTCCCATAATTCCGATAAGCTCCAAACAGTCTGTCAACAGAAGTAGATTTGTACATCTACGCACCTGTTTATGCAGCTCCGCTGTTTGCATAAGTGACGAATTGACAGCGGTAAAACAAACGCTGAATCAAAACTATTTAAAATCCCAAATGAATATTGTAGTTCCTTTGGCACCCTGGAGGATGGATGACGCCATGGCCAAAGAGAGTAGAATCATCAAGAGGTGACATTTTGTTGCTGTTTGGGAAACTAGATGCCGCTAGTGTCACGCGGCGGTCATTTTGGAATGAAAATTCTAATAGAACAACAGCACGGATAGCTAACGTTAAACAAAATAAATTTAAATATTGAGTTAAAATATTATATATTCATACACTCCCATAGACTGATTTCACACGGCCGCCATTTTTAAAAGCAAAATCGAGGCTGCGGTGGGAAGAAACCCAGAAGTATCATTGGGAGTTGCATTGGGAGGAACATTGTGTACTTGGCTGTATATCTTTTTAGCAAAGATAAAGTGACCCGAAGGTCCGTTCTGAATGATTGGTGAAAATAAAAAGGCATATCAGAGCTCATTTTCAGCTAAATTAAGGGAAATGGCACTAGTTAGCTAAGGTTTTCTTTCCCAATCACACGTTTTAGATGCCATTTATCAAACTCAAGTTAATAAACTGATTCTTTCATTCTATTAGACTTGTCATGATACTGAATGAAAAGATAAACCATCAATTTCCCTCTAACATTTAAGGCACTGTTGGTGGCTTTCTTAAAACAGCGCTGATTTGCCATTGTGTTCACGTGCTCGACCGAAACGCTTGTGATTGGCCGAGAAGGTCATCAGTTTACCCTCCGCTGTTTACAGAGCACAAACACAGACGAGCGATCTGCTTGATGACTCGACCGATCTTCACAGCTACTTCGCGCTCCAGTCTCCGTTTATCTGTTTGCACTGGGTGAAGAGCGGTAAACTGAGTGCAAACACAGATACACAGAGACTGGAGCACAAAGCAGCCGTGAAGATCAGTCAAGTCATCCGTACTCAGCGGCTCTTCAATGTTAGTCGGTTTTAAAACTTCAGTACCGGGACAACACTATTACAGACGACACGAGGGTGTGCTGCAGAGGACTGCGGTGTTTTATTGCCAACCAGGTTACATAGGCTGAAGCAGGAAAGCATCCCCATGGCCTTGACACTTGAGCATATTACTCCTATAGAGATTGTGAAGTTGTTTGATGCTAATTTGCTTTTAATTGTTTAAATTAAACTTACTAATTAAACTTAATAATCGTAAAGTGATGTTAACACCATTTCTGCATTTTAAAATCTCGGCAACAGCTGGAGGTTTGTAGTATGGATGTTACTGCAATGTTTACAGCGCTGGTTCTATACTTCCGGATTTCTTCCCACCGCAGCCTCGCTTTCATTCCTTAAAATGTCTGCTGCACGAAATAAGCGTATTGAAAACAACATTTTAAACAGCATCTCAATGAAAAGAAAACAATTTCCCTAATGCTGACAAGACTACGTTTAATATATGTTTAACTTATGACATTAATGTAAGGTCAACAAAGTAACTTAAATTACAAATTTCTTTTAATTTTTTTTTTTTTTTTTTTTTAAGTTTTACTAAAATTGAGGTGATGCAAAAATGAGTATACCCCACATCAAACACTACTTTATCTAGTTTGTATGGCCTCCATGATTTTTAATGACCGCACCAAGACTTCTGCGGATTGAGCAAGTTGGCTTCATTTTGCAACGTCTTCCATTCTTCAAAAATGACACATCTTTTAGATTTGCTCAAAGAGATGCTCAACTCGATGTCTCTTCAGAATTCCCCATATGTGTTTAACCCTCTACTGCACGTATTATGATAGATCTATAAAAAAAAATATTTGACTGTTTTTATTTTCTAAAAATGGCCTGGAGTGCTGTAAAACAAATTGGAAATTTTTTTTAAAAGTATTTTAGGATATGTTATTATAAGGCAACAGTGGATCTAACTTAGAATTTTTACATTTAGAACTTTTCTTATAATTATTAATTTTATTGTTTGAACTGATTTAATTGGTGTTGCAGTATAATAAGCTTTAACACAGAACTTATAAATGACACCTTATACTTTAGCTAACCCATTGCAATATTGCACATTCCCTATTGCACAGTGTTGTCATTTGGCAACACACACATTTGATTGACTTACAAAAAACTAATTTGATAAAAAAAACTATTTGAGTTGTGAACATGTCATCATAACTTACAGGAGGTGATGTTTCAGAATTTTTTTTTTTTTTTTTTGGTCCTTATATAATTTGATTCTTTGTTTTTATTGATGTTTACATTTGCATTCAGCTATTACTCACAATAGATGCCAGTCTGTCAGAAATCACGTTATGAAAAAACACTGCATGTCATGTGACTTTACCAAAGCACATCATTGGCTGCACTAAGGTCTTTTCTTTCCCACATAAAAATTTGAGAATTGGTCTTAAAAAACAGTGGCAGGGAAATGAACATAAATATCATGTTGCCATATGATGACACCATGCAGTAGAGGGATTAATTGGATTCAGATCAGTAGACATATTTACAATAATATAATATATTGACATAGATGTGTATGTGTGTGTATGATGAATTAATGTGTCAGAATTAACTCATTTTTGACAAAGTGGCTTTTTACATAAAAACTTTTTTATTCTTTTATTAACAGACAACACTGGAAAAAAAATACTAAATACTATTATAACATAAAGTATACTGTCAGTCTGTTGTCAACAACCCATTTTGAAAGTCATGTTAATTTAATTTAAAATGTCAGTATTCATTTATATTTTGCCAGTGCGTAAACTATTAAAGTAATTTCACCTAATAGTTACAGTTTCAAGAAAATAAGTTAACATTAAATATGTAACATTAAAATGTTTATTTCTGTAAAATAAATTATTAAAAGTGCTGATAATTGTGATTAGAAAGTGTTGTATTCTTTCAAATTGTATCTCAGCGTTAACAAAGAGCTTAGAATGACCAAGAGGCGACACTCTAGTGTAATTTGGGAAACAGCCACTAGAGGGCGGCAGGCATTTTGGAATGAAAACTCCAATAGAACAACACAATATTATAAATCTGTAAAATAAACTATTAAAAGTGCTGATGATTATGATAACAAATGTGGTATTGTCGTCTTTTAGGTTGTATCTCGGCTTTAATGTGCTTTTTAAATAAATTAATAAAAAACAACGCAGCTGCTTGCCATCACGACAGTAATGAGATCCAATTGATGGCCGATCAAATTCACTCCAAAATGGCGGAATCCGGGGCTGTTGCTGGGCGCTGCTGTTGCAATGGAACGTTCTATTGAGTGTCGCCTCTTGGTCATTCTAAGCTCTTTGGCTTTAATGAGCTTTTCATATGAATAAATAAAAAACAAAGCAGCTGCTTGCCATCACAACAGCAGTAAGATCCAATGGATGGCTGATCGCTTTTACTTCCAAGATGGCGGAATCATGGGGATGTTGCTGGGCACTGCTGTTGCAATGGAACATTCTATTGAGTGTTGCCTCTTGGTTATTCTAAGCAAATTCCCTTTAAGATAAGTCATTTCCCTCGGTGTCAGTGTCCATCTTTGAAATGCCTCTCGGGCACTATGCTCAGGCTGTCAGTCTGAATGGGGAAACATCAAATTCTCCAAAACTACTTGCCAAGCTTATTACTGAATTTCATTTTAGGAATCACCGGTAAAACTAAACAACAAACGTCTCTTTAGTTTCATTTCTAAACATTCGAATCACACAAAATCTGCAGAAACTCACATCTGATCTGAGCCCCTCCCTCTGAGTATTGTAAGTCCATAGCGACCCATGATTGGCTCTTATGCTAGAAGGCAGGCTTTATTCCCCATGTAACGATCAACGATTGGCTGCTGTACTAGAAGGCGGGCTTTATTAGCCACACTTTTCTCTATTCAAAACAATACGAGTGACTCGTCTTGTGTATTCTATAGTCTTTGTTCTAAGGTCTTTGCCATGGCCGAAGTGTTTTTTGACAGTTAATGTTATGTTTTAAAACTATTTTAGTCACGCAAAGCTTATGTAGATTTTGTTGTTTTACGAATGGGTTATATGTACGCAAGTCACTGAAATCTTCCGGCGAATGATTGACGTGACTATTTTAATTTCATAAGTTATTTTTAATTAGTTTAACAACAAAACATCAGTAAACAGTACTATTCCACCTAGACTGCTTTACTGAGGTGAAGCTGGTTTTATATTCGCATTGGTTCATTGTTGAAAAAATGACAACCTGTGAAGTGTTCCCTTTATTGTTTTGTATACTACTTTGAATATTCCCTCTGAAATAGCATGTACGCATGAGCAGCTGATAAATTAGTACTGGTACCTAATGGAACAAATACTAGTATCTATAAAAAAATGTCAAATTAATATCCAAGAATTAGTAGCATGAAAATAGATACTGGTCCGTTTAATAGAATACATCTAAAATGGCTTGCCATAGACTACTATTCATTTTTTAAAGTGTGTGTGTTTTGATGAAATATGATATGGTAGACTTTTGACTTGTTTAGACTACTGCATTTATCAGGTTAGTGTGCTTTGTAGTGCTGACAGGTAAGACAAGGTGACTCCCAAACAAAATCAAAGGAGACAAAGCAAAGATAAAAGGCAGGGACAGGAACAAATAATCTCAGACATGTGCATTCAACAACTGACAAATGCAGGATAAGGCCAATTTCTATTTATACCCCTTTTTTTACCCCTTGCCCCTTAAAATAGTCAGCTCATATGTTAAATGAGATGCAATGATGTTTCAAGGGTAGTCATTAAAGGTAGCTCAAGCGCATTTGACTGTTTACTTACTGCCAGTGCCAACATTGTCTTGAGCTGTATTTGGACCAATGCAATCTCACGGCAATTTGTAACTTTTTGATTTAGTGGCTAATTCGTATGAATTCATATGATCCGATTCATATAATTAAGTACGATTTGCTCATCCCCCAATGATGGTTGGGGTAAGGGGTGGGGTTGGGTGCCACACCTCCTTTTTAAAAGCGTACATTTTCATACGACTGAACTCGTACGAATTAGCCACTAAACTAACAAAACGTAAAATGCTTACGTTTCCTCGTGAGATCAGGGTGATTTGGACTGTATTTGGCTTGAAAACATTCATTTATTCATTCTATTTTCCTTCGACTTTGTCCCTTATTTATCTGGGGTCACCACAGTGGAATGAACGACCATCTATCATCACCCTGTTTTATGCAGCGGATGCCTGAACTAGGGGGTAAATCTGCTCTTCTTTTTGGCTTTGTTGCTGTTCATCAATGACGACAAGCTTTGTTTGAGCCCTGTCGACCATGGCTTGTTTTTACATGTATACATATTTACGCTGTAATCTCGGCTGTGTATTTTAAACATGGCTGCTCTTTTGTTTTCATTCTGGCTTGTTGCGTAAACGAATGACGTTTCTCTGTAAACCAATAGCGTTAAGCTGCGTGTCTAGCTTTCCTTTTTGGTACCCTTTCTCGTGTTTGGTGCCTTTAGAAAGGGAGCCAAAAATGTGGTCTTTTTGACAGTGGAAACGGCCATAAAAGCGTACTATACTGAACCGTACCGTACCACTCAGTGGAAATGGGCCAAAAAACTACAGTACAAGGTAACAAGAGGGCAGAGACAGTAACTGGGCAACTAACTAGAGTACTGGGATTGATGAGGGTGTAGTACAGAGAGCAGTGACTGAACAGAGGACACAACAGGGACCAATACATAACATAAGACAAACCTGAAAACCAGGACCATGACATCTATTTCTTTTCTAGGAAAAAAGACTGAAGACTACCATTCTGAGCTTTGAGTCATTTGATCAATTCAAGGCAAATTATGAAGGAGCCATGGGATACGTGTCAATATTTTCATCACTTCACCTGCAGCCTTTCTCATGCCAGTAACCGGGCTGGAGTGGGACTCATTTTCAGCATTGGAGTTTTTTGTACTAACAACTTCTTTTTTAAATTTTGAGTTATTTGATACGGTATGATCCAACTAATGTTTATGGAATGTTTCACATTATTGCATTACAAACATATTCAGAAAAGTTAAGGTTATTAGTTACCATAACTTATAGTTACTAATTATGTAGTAACTACTAGCTTTTAACAGTTAAAGTTATATATAAACATAATTAACCTGCAGTTATATAGTATATAGGTAATGTCTATATGTGTACATGTTTAATAAAGTGTATTTCTGTATCAAGTGTATGTGTTGTCCTCAAAGTCCTCTATAGTTGGTATCATCCCTTCATCTCTTCATATTTGTTGTCCTAAAAAGTCCTCTATGGTTGGCATTATCTCTTCAAAGGTCTTGGATCTCTAGAGGCCTCTGGATGGGCATCCTAAGGTGGAAATTGAGCTCATAATGTATTTAAACAAGAGATATTAAAGGGCAATCAGAAAATTAAGTGCTATAAATGAAAATAGCAGTTATATAAACAAACATAGAAACAAACATAAAGCAAATAAGTATTTCTAACAAAGTGCCTTGTGTGTTTTTTAAGCCAGAGAGTATGACCTATGGGTGGTTTGTCAAGCCCACTGACCTGCATATAGCTCACTTACACATCACACCGCAATGTGATGCATTGTATGTATGCTATACTAAAAAGATAGGTCTTTAATCTTGTTTTGAACTGAGACAGCGTTTGAGCCTCGGACATTATCAGGAATAATTTCAGAGTTTAGGTGCCATATGTGAGAAGGCTCAACCTCCTTTAGTTGACTTTCCTATTCTTTGTACTAATAGAAGCTCTGAGTTTTAAATCTTAAAGAGTGGGTTGAAAAAAAAAGCGAGACAGATGGTTAGTTAGATGAACAGGAGCTAGATTATTTAAATTTCCTGGTTATTCATGTTTCCTGGAATAGTAAGTTTTAAGTTATCTTGACTCATATTCTTTTACATTCTTACTCAAATCTTTTGGTTTTTAAAAACTAATTAATTTCTTTTTATTCCACTTTAGTGATAAGTTTAACTTACTTAATCGAAGACATTTTTACACAACTTTAATTTACTCAAAAGTTCAAACATTAACAGATATTAATTCCATATAATTCAAAGATTCAAAAATAATTATCCAAAAAAAGCCAGCTCCATTGGTTAAACGTATTTATCTTTATTTTTTATCTTTTAAATCACCATGTATTTTGACAGGCATTAACAATTAGCTGAACATTCATTCATTCATTTTCATTTCGACTTAGTCCTTTTCTTAATCTGGGGTCGCCCTAGATGAATGAACTGCCAACTTATCCAGCATATGTTTTACGCCACGGATGCTCTTCCAGCTGCAACCTATCACTAGGAAACATCCATACTTTTTCATTCACACACATACACTACGGACACTTTTAGCTTACCCAACTCATCTATACCACATGTCTCTTAATTTAATGTCTCTGCCTTGGAATTTTTTTAGAACAAATGGTTAAAGATTGACTGACTTATATGAACAGCTGTTATCGGAGACATGACCTGTAAAGCTGGCAAGCTCTCCGGAAAGTCACAGGCCACTAGATCTCCCTTGGCCATTACTTGTTGATGTAGAGCAAAGGGTGTCTGTTTTTTTTTTCAAGTTCCACAAATACACTATAAATACTAATACAAATAGAGACATGGTAGAGGGCTATTTCTGGACAATTACTATTCTGCAAACGATTACCACGATTACTTTTGCAAAAATAATTTTGGGCAGTTTTCAAAGGATGCAGAACATAGTGTGCACTGGTAACACTTTACGATAAGGCTATATTAGTTAATGTTGGTTTACAAACATTACTTATGACTAAATATTAAACTATACTATACTGCAAAAAAAATATTATTCAATTGGCAATGTTTACTCAAATAATTATGATCAGATCAAATTAAAACCCCATGGCGCAGTAGTTAGTACTGTCGCCTCACAGCAAGAAGGTCGCTGGGTCGCTGGTTCGAGCCTCGGCTCAGTTGGCGTTTCTGTGTGGAGTTTGCATGTTCTCCCTGCGTTCGTGTGGGTTTCCTCTGGGTGCTCCGGTTTCCCCCACTGTCCAAAGACATGCAGTACAGGTGAATTGGGTAGGCTAAATTGTCCATAGTGTATGAGTGTGTGTGTGTGTGGATGTTTCCCAGAGATGGGTTGTGGCTGGAAGGGCATCCACTGCGTAAAAACTTGCTGGATAAGTTGGCTGTTCATTCCGCTGTGGCAACCCTGGATTAATAAAGGGACTAAGCCGACAAGAAAATGAATGAGTTTGTACTCAAAAAATTATGTTTGCTGCTTGTTCAATCTACTTTTTTAAAATGAGTCGATACAACGCAACTCTTAAGGGGACAACTGAATTATTTTATGTTAAATCCACTTAAAATTGTGAAAATGAATATCTTAATCGATTTGTATTAGTACAACATGAATGAAGGAACCCAACATTTTTTTACAGTGTTTATATTGTGTGTGTGTGTGCATATATATATATATATATATATATATATATATATATATATATATATATACACACACACATAGGTTATGTATTATATCTAACTGTTTGGATTTACAGTGTAGATTATCTGCTTTGGATTATGTGAGTACAGAATAACTCTGTGTACAATGTCCCTCAGTAAGTTAAACAGTCACTTGTGTTACACAAATAACATCAAGTTGTCATTAAATGCTGCCTTATTGCATATATTGGTCAGAATCCAGTGATCCCTCATTATTTGAGGGAGTTACGTTCTAAAAGTAACCTACAATGGGTGAAATCTGTGAGGTATTCAGCTTTATTTTTTCTAATTATTATAGATGTTTTAAGGCTGTAAAACCCCTCACTACACACTTTTCTCAGACAGGCATTTACATTTTCACACTGTTTTCTCTTGTTTAAACTCTCTCAAAGTTTAAACCTTTGAAGTAAAATAAGTCCAGTATTATAGAATGAAACCAAAGATCAAAACCAATTGATCTTCATTTATTTATTTTAAAATGGCACCCTACAACCACGTAACTTCAACCTTACTTTACCATGTCTAGAAGTTTAAATTTAGGTGCCTTTGCCTTTGGTGTGTTATGCAGGTGCTGTTGACGGTGCAGAACGTTTCGTCAACATGTTGGGGAGAAAACTTGCAAACATACAGTTACAGCACTTCAGAGTAACACTGCTTGCAATCAAAGATTTATGTAAATTGGGCAAGCTAAACGCATTCGGTACTGTAAAGGAGACACGGCACAGAGGACATTGATTGACAATGGTCTACAGCCATTCAGGACACAAAACACAATGTGATTTTCAAGCACAACCATCTTTAGGGTTTACAGAGAATGGTCTGAAAAAGAGAAAATATCCAGTGAGCTGCGGTTCTGTGGGCGCAAATGCCCTATTGATATCAGTGGTCAGAGCTGAAAGAAAGGACAACAGTAACTCAAATAAACATTCGTTACAACCTAGGTATGCAGAAGAGCATCTCTGAACCAACTTTGGGCTACTGCAGCAAAAGACCACACCGGGAACCACACCTGTCAGCTAGGAATAGGAAACTGAGGCTACAATTCGCACAGGCGCACCAGGAATGGACAATAGAAGATTGGAAAAACATTGCCTGTTCCGACGAGTCTCGATTTCTGCCTTGTATCAACAGTTCAGGGTGGTGGTGGTGGTGTAATGGTGTGGGGGATACTTTTCTGACACATTTTGGGCCCATTAGTACCAATTGAACATCATGTCAACGCCACGCCTACCTGAGTATTGTTGCTGATCATGTCCATCTCTTCTTGACCAAAGTGTAATCTTCTGATGGCTACTTCTAGCAGGATAACTCTTCATGTCATAAAGTGTGAATCATCTCAGATTGGTTTCTTGAACATGACAGTGAGTTGACTGTACTCAAATGGCCTCCACAGTCACCAGAGCTCAATAGAGCTGTATATTAAAAACAGACTTATTTATTGACCATGACAGCTCAATATGACTTTTTTTTTCCACTAGAGGGTGCATAATTACAACAAACAAAGGCAATGATGCATTGACTGAGTGTGGAATTATGGGATTTGTCGACTTTATTACATGCCACGGATCTCCTGCAGTAATTATGGTAATGGATAAGATAAAGTATTTAAAACTTATTATCATAGTATTATAAAGCTGTTGAAGTGAAATGAGACAAAAACAGTAGAGCTTTTATTATGCCACAGTCCACCACTTCTGGTTCAAATAGAGGTTGTATGACATCATTACCAGGCATGGGATATGGCTATTATTAGGCCATTGTTAAAATGACTGATTTCTCTCATTTTGAACTTTCTTTGAAACATTTGGGATTATATAAGAACACACAGTTAAAGTCAGAATTATTAGCCACCCTGTTTGTTTTTACCCCCAATTTATGTTTAACAGAGAGAAGATTTTTTTCAACACATTTCTAAACATAATAATTTTAATAACTCATTTCTAATAACTGATTTATTTCATCTTTGCCATGATGACAGCAAATAATATTTGACTAGATATTTTTCAAGACACTTGTATTCAGCTTAAGGTTGATTAGGTTAACTAGGTTGGGGTAATTAGGCAAGTTTTTGCATAGTGATGGTTTGTTCTGTAGATTTTCT